GTTGAATTGTATGAGAAACACCGATCAGAAAGAATATGTGCACCCCTATGTTCATAGCTATGCTATTTATAATAGCTAAGATTTGCAAACAGCCCAAGTTCCCATCAGTGGATTACTGAATAAAAAAACTGTGGTACATATATACAATGCAATACTATACAGCTGTGAGAAAGAAGGATCTCTTATCCTTTGACACAACATGGATGGAACAGGAGAGTATTATGCTAAACTAAATAAGCCAGTGTGAGAAAGACAAGTATGACATGATTTTACTTATATGTGGAATGTAATGAATAAAATAAACTGATGCACAAAATATATCCAGAGACATGGAAGCATGGAACAGAGTGATAAATCTCAGAGGGAAGTGGGGGTTGGAAGAACTTAACCAAAGAACTTATGTGCATATATGCATAACCCATGGATATAACCCAGTCCTGTCAATAACTATTGATCTTGATAACATTACAGCCTCTCTAAATCTTTTCATCATCTGTAAATGTTAATTTTATAATATTGATAATAATACCTGTTAGCTTATCTCGTTACTTAGATGATTTGAGAAATATATGTTAAAGATTAAATTGTAAAGTGTGTAAAGTGCTTTATAAACTTTATAAATTCACACAGTAATGTTGCCTGTGTATATCTTTCTTCCAACAGAGACAGTCAATTCTTTGTGGGTAGGAAACAAATACGCTTCCTTTGCCACTGCTTCCCTGGCAATAGCATAGCACATGCTGTATGGTAGGAGATTAATAAATATTATTAAATAAGTACTGAATTAAATAAGTAATGAATGATATATGTATGGATGCTTGAATGCACTGGTGAAGGGACAGCCTTGGAATGTTCTATTAAGGAAGCAAGTAAATACTTCAATTTCTGGCATTTTAGGCTCATGTGTTTCAGACATTACAATCACAGCTAATGCTTATTGTTCTTTATCTATAGTACAGAAACTTTTTAAAATTCTTTACATGAATTGAGCCATATAATATCCATAACCAACCTACGAAGTCATATTCAACACCTCTTCAGTTCTCACCTGTAAAACTTAGAAACTGCCTTTCCCACACTCCCCTGCCAGTAAATTCAGTTTTGGATTTCACCCGTAAAAGGTATTTACGGAAAATTTGGCAAGCATAACAGAAATAAACACCAGCATTGCTCTTCCTGACATAATGTTTAGATGTATAGACTTTGACAGAGTTTTAAGCAGTTTCAGAGCATTCTCCCATGAAACATTTGTTTCAGTTATATCATTGGTGGCAGTTTCCTAATATCCCTAAAACTTCCCAAGATTCCTGCAATTCTTGCAACTATATGAGGTTGTTGGCAATATTTATTTACCATCTCTCTCAGTCCTTCCAAAGATTTTTGTAGGCCTCTAATCCTTGCCTGAAATAGCTAGAATTGTTTCTGTCAACACCATCAAACTCTGATCACCAGAGGCAAGTACTACTATTAGTTACTTAGGTATAGAGATCAAAGCACAGATAGTGACTAGTTATACTCCATTGCCTGTCTTCAACTGAAATCTCAAATCCTATGAATGGGACATGGTGTCTTTTTTTAAATCCCAATTGGAAAATATCATTTGTAGCCTGTTTTACAGTTGCAAATTTTTGCCTAATTTCTGAAAAAAATTATCTTAGTTTCAAACCCATCATTACTTGCTTTTCAGAATGAAGCAAGGTAAGCTTCACTACCCAGCTGCTTTTGATGTGGGGTGCACAGTGGAATGTTGTGTTGGCTGTGATTGATCATGTGGAGAAGTGATATACAATCTTAGGAGTTTTCAATAATACAGAATTTATTTTATTTCATAACACCCACATAGAGTTTATTTTTTATATATATTAAAAAAAACTTAATGTTGAATTAAATGACTTTTGGGGTTTAGATACCTACAAACAGAATGTTAGTGCTGGAAGGGCCATAGCTATGTTAACTAGCCACTATATGTCTACTTTTTTAGTCAAAGCTAATATTTAAAGTCAGGTAGATATATCTATAAATATTGATTTGGTGGAATGACCATAATATATTATAAGTAGAAAAAGAAAGTTGCAGAGTAAATTAGTAATATGATTCTATTTTTTTAAAAAAGAAAGAAAATCTACATAAAATAACACCTAGACATCGAATGTTAAAACTGGAGAGGCTCTTTGGTAACAAAACTCAGCCTTCTTATATTGATGAGCAAATTTGAGGCCCATAGAGTGATATAACTAAGGCCACATACCTAGTTAGTTGCAGATTTCATTCCACAGCCCCCATCCTCAGACTCTCACTATGTCACTCTGTCTATAGGCTGAGTCTGTACCAAGTCAAGAAAGAGATAGGGCACCATTAGCGAAAACATGATTCTCATTTTAAGCTGAAACAGACCTGTAACAGAGAGTGGAAAATGTTTGCCTAAAAATGCAGGGTCATTAAAATGAGTACTCTTAATATTCTCCTAATTTCTGAATTTCTCTTTACTTAAAGGCTCTATTTTTTTTCCTCTACAGCTTTATTAATTTGACCAATTTCACAATGTTAACTTTTTTTCTTATGAAGTTTTTTTAAAAATTAAATTTATTGTGGAGATGCTGCTTAACAAGATTATAGAGGTTTCAGGTGCACAATTCTACCACACATCATCTGTACACTGTATTGTGTTTACCGCCTCAAGTCTCCATCCATTACCATTTATTCCCCTTACTATGCCCTCCTCCACCTCCCCTCCACCTCACTGCAATCACCACAATGTTGTCTGCGTCTATGAGTTTTTTCTCTATTATTTATTTCACAATGTTAATTTGTAATGTTTATTTCAATAGTAAGAACGATTTTTCATAAAGTTTAGAACTTACCCTAGCGACTAGCACAGTGCCTGGTTGAAAGTAGAAAGTTAGTATTTGTTTAATAAATAAATCAACGATTGAAGTCATTTGCTTTTTCCTAAATATGTTTTTTTTTTTTAATTTCTTGATATTAAAGCATGGTTTCAGTGGCTGAGAACACTATAAACTTTAAAAATATATACTAGAACTTGAATAAATGTTATATTACTTGAAAATTAGGTTATTTTCATAAGTGGTTTCTGTATTCTATTTTTTCCTTTTATTTAGTAAGTAAACGTATGAGACAAATCCCTTGTATGTCTGGCATTCCCTTGCTGCACCACAAAATGTCATATCTATTCCCAGCAGTCAGGGTCTGAGGAATGAAATAGATCTATGCTTGCTCAGTAGTGCTTTGCTTCACATCTAGGTGCTGTGCATCATAATTTTTCCTGCACATCTTCTCTGTTTGTGGGATGACTTAATTGTGGTTATTGGAATTAAGCAAAGTAAAGTGAGATCAGAAGAAAGGGTACCTGGAACTTAGTGCTAGATCTGTTTCTAAAAATGTTCATGATCCTGGGAAATTTACACTCTGTTCACTGAGACTCTGAATCCTTATTTAAGATGAGAGATATGTAGTAGATCATTGTTTGCCAAAACCTTTTCTTTTATTTTTAGACCTTCATTTTCAAATGAAATTGTTCACAGAAAACTTTACCTCATTGACAGATTCCAGGTACCATAGCCAAAGGACAATATGAACTAAAGTTTAAAATCCACTGCATTATATACGGCAACAAGAAATTAATTTTTTTAAATGTGGTAATTTTGTACAATGGAATATTATTCAGTAATAAAAAGGAATAATCTACTGATACATACAGCAACATGGATGAACCTTAAAAGCATGCTAAGAGAAAACATACACAAAAAGTACATACTGTATGATTCCATTTATAGTCAATTCTAGAAAATCAAAACTAACATACAGTAAAAGAAATCAGATTAGTGGTTGCCAGGAATTGGGAATGAAAGGAAGGGTGAACTACAAAAGGGGACAAGGAAATTTTTGAAGATGATGGAATTGTTAGGTAGCTTGATTGTGGTGCTGACACTATGGGCATTTGTCAAAATGCGTAAAATTGCAAACTGTAATTGGATAAACTTTATTAGCAATAAGTTATACCATAATAAAGTTGATTAAACTAACTGCATTTAATGATCTCTGAGGTCTCTATAGTTTGGATACAGTGAATGGGATCTGGAATCAGCCAGACCTAGATTTAAATATTGGCTCTGCTGTTTGTTTACTGGCTCTGTGGCAAAGGGAAAATCACTTAACCTTTATGAGTCTCAGTTTCCTCACACCTAAGATTGCTGATAATAGCTCTACTTTATCAAATTGTTGTGAGAATTATATGTGATAAGTACTCAATAAATGTTAAGTGCATTTATAATTCTATGATTCCAAATTGAAAAAGTTCAGTGGTGGTGTATATGTGATCTGCATTCTAATTTTGATTCCACTACCAATTATATATAACTTTAGAAAAGTCTCAGTGCCTTTGGGTCTCGGTTTTGTCATCAGATAATTATGGTGTCTCTCTTTCCAATTTCATAGATGCATTAGGAATATAAAACAATATTATATTTGAGAAAATTTTCAAAATAAAAAGAAAAAAAACTTCATACAAATGTAGGAAATGGCTGTGCTACAATTTTCTTATGACTCTGAGGTTAAGTGGAGCAAGGGAATTATGCTTTTATAATTCAGTAAAGTTGGACAATTTCTGACATTTTTCTTCTGTCTTTTTATTATAGTATTTTTGTCCTATTTTTCAATTTCAGTTATTTCTTGCCTTAATAGTCATAAGAGATTCTCTTGCTGCTTAGGTCTCTTCTGTCTTTGAGAAAATTATTCTGATAAGATTAGTTACCTGAAGCTGAGTAATAATGCATTATATGTAAAGAAAGACAGAAAATAATGTCTGTAATAGAAATTCAAGTCTCAGGAGGGACAATATTTTGGGGTAAGAATACTTCCTGAAGCTTCTCATATGACAGGTACCCACTCTCCTAAGGGTCAAGTCATACCCTTTAAACATTTTTTATCATCAGTGGAGATGTAGCTGAGTGTTATTTTAGAGCTTTAGAAGCAAAAGTGGCTTATTCTCTTTTCACCATAACTTTTCTCATTGTCTTTTTAACATATTTGTCCTGCAGGATATATACTAGAGGGTTCAGAATGGATGTCAAAGCTCCATAAAACATTGAGACAAACTTGTCTAGGTCAGGGGATGACTTGAATTGATGTTTCATATACATGGAGATGGCTTCCCCATAGAAGATTGCCACCACAGTCAAATGAGAGCCACGGGTAGACAAAGCCTTGAGCCTACCCTGGGCTGAGTGAATCTTTAGGACAACAGTGGCAATTTGGACATAGGAGAGGAGAACAAACCCAAAGGGTAGGAACAGGGTGAAGATACCTGTGATAAAGATCATAAGTTCATTGAGGTTGGTTATCAGAACAAGCCAGAATGAGGAGGCAGAGAATCTCACAGAGAAAATGGTTGATGACATTAGCCCCACAGAAATAAAGAGTCAGGGATAAGATGAGCATGGCAGTGAGTACAGTGATGCCCTCTATGAGGTGGCAGCCAGCCAGACACACACTGGGCCATTCATGACCATAAAGTACTGGAGGGTATTTCTGATAGCAACCACATAGTCATAGGTCATCACAGACCATAGAAGGTACTCTGCTGTGACCAAGAACAAGGAGATACTCATTTGGGTCAAACATCTTGTGTAAGAGAGGTAGGAATGTGTAGAAAAACAATGCAACAAGACCTAGGGCATGGAGACTGTTCCACAGAAAAGGTCTAAGAAAGACAGGTTATTAAGGAAGAAATACATTGGAGTGTGAGTCAATGTGGATAAGAATGATGAGAAGTCCATTCCCCAACAATGTGCTGAGGTAAGTTATTAGCACCAAAGTGAAAAACATGACTCACCACTCAGAATAATTAGGGAGTCCAATAAGGAGAAACTCAAACACTGCTGTAGCATTGTTTATGGCCATTTTTCCCACTTGCTTAATTTTACCTGAAAGAATGAGAATAAAGATGGATGGATGATGTAAAAAAAAAGGGGGGGGATAATTATGGTGTATAGAATTGTTCTCTTCATCCTTTTTAAAAGATATGAAATACAAATGGTACAAGTACAATGAGAACAGAGTCAAAGTTAAAAATCTTCCCCTCCTCTGGAAAATAGCAAATTGCCTATTGTTTTGAAAATAGTCATATAATATTTTCTCCAACTTCTTCCAACAGATGCCTTCTTGTGTCATTTTTTTTTTTCCAAAGGAAGAAGAGAGGAAAAGGCGGCCATCTTCCTGTTTCTTTCACTGATCTTCATTTTACAAGACAAATATGATTCATCAGTCACCTTCAGTTACTAATTTCCATCAAGGGGTGACCTCTGACCATCTCACTAAAATATTGACCTATTCTTGTATTTGTCTGTCACTCCTAGATTGTTCATCCTCCATTTTCCCATTGTGCTAGTATCTGCCATGGTTCTTGACATAAAGTGCTGCAAAGTACTTCTTTGATTTGAATCAATATTATGTAAATGGAGTATTTCATGGTATCCCTGAGGTCTGTGAAAATCCTCTGCTAATATCCATGGTTGAAGCTACATTTCCAGCTTCTGTGTTTTATTTTATTTTATTTTTTTAATTTTTAAAAATTTGTTTTGGTACGCACCCCTAGTGGGAACTGAACCCAGGACTCTCTGGTCTGCAGGCCGACGCTCCAACCGCTGAGCCAAACCGGCCTGGGCCCAACTTCTGTTTTATCTTCTGTGTTTGCTAAGCCCAAGTTTGAACTTTGAAAATCTAATGTGATGTTTCTAAAAGTATGGATGATAATGAGAGGGCTTCAACAACCAGACTACTTTTGAAGACTCTCTCTTCCCATCCTCTTCACCCTCTTTCTTCTCAGTCTGCTTTATTTTTTATAGCATAGTCCAATATCTGAAATTAATGATTTGACTACTTGTTTATTTTTTGTTTGTCACTCAAATGTAAATTTATTGGAGACAGAATTAATACATGAATGAATATATAAAGTCCTAGACAGTCACAGACAAACAATTCCTCTTGCCATTTGGACTACAATCCTTTCTTTATTTTAAGTGATCATCGTTACTCATCTCTCATCTGACCTTTCTCAGTAACTTCCTTATTGATTTCTTTGTTTCTGTCTTTGCCCCTATTCAGTTTCAATGATTCAGTTAAATTATAAATCAGATCAAGTCATTCTTCTATCACAAAATGTCAGTAGCTTCCCATTTTAACTGGATTAAAATTATTCTCTTTATAATGACCTATTAGGCCTTTGTGGTTTGTGATCACATAACCCCATTACTACAGCTCTTTTTTTTACTTTGCTCAAGTCACAATGGCCTCCTTACTGTTTCTTAAATACTCATAGCTCATGTCTCTCTCAGAGCCTTTGATCTTTTTGATCTTGCTGCTTCATATTTATGAAACCCATATCCTTGCATGACTTACTTTCTCAGTTACCTCAGGTCTTTACTCACAAGGCATCGTTTCAGTGAATCTTTCTTTGGCCATCCTGCCTAAAAGTTCAATTCTAGCTCATGACATTTTCTACCTTCTGTTCTTACATTATTTTCCTTCTTAGAATTATTACCTCTAGCGCATTGTATATTTTTATCTTTTAATCATATTTATTGATTGTTTCTCTCAACTAAAATATATGTTTAATGAAGTCATGGAGTTTTGTCTGTTTAGCTCTTTGGTGTATGCCCAAAACTTAAAAATAGTGTCTGGCATATGAAAAGTGCTTAAGAATTATTTGTTGAATGAATGTCTGAATGGAGCTCTTTAGTTGCACCTCTCTTTTTCCCACCTGCCTCTTCCTTTGACATTGTGGTTTATATGCCAAGCACCCCTTAATGTATATGTACACTTTCATGAGACTACCTCTGCCTTCTTTTTTATTTATTTTTTTATTTTTTTTATTTTTTATCCTCACCCGAGTATATTTTTCCCATTTTTTGTACAGCTAGAGTGGGAGGGAGAGAGAGGAAGGGAGAGAGAGAGAAACATCGACGTGAAGGGACACATCGAGTGGCTGCCACCCGCATGACCAACCAGGGCCGGGGACAAACTGCAACCGAAGTACGTGCCCTTAGCGGGAACCGAACCCAGGTCTCTCCGGACCACAGGCCGACGCTTTAACCGCTGAGCCAAACTGGTCAGGGCTACCTCTGCCTTCTTTTTTCTAATACCTTCCTTGAAGCCCCTGCTCCTCACTGAGTATGTGTCTGAATAAGTTTCTTGCCCTCAGTGGCCTAATTTTTTTTTTTTGCAATCTGGTTAAACTAAGTGATCTCTGTGAACTCTCCTAGAAATCAAACATGCTAAGATTGTTTGATTTCTCTCAACAAAAAAATAAATACAAACAAAAACAAAATCCAAACAAACCTTAACACTCCTCAGAGTATGAGAAATGTATTACATTTTTTTCCATTGTTGGAAAAGCTAGAGAAGGGTTTTGTTAAGGGATGGAGTTTCTCTAATCGTTTCTACAAAAGGAGATCCACCTATCCTTACAAGTCTTTAGCAAAGAAGATTCCATAATGCCCTCACTTCCCTATAGAAGTTACCTATCTCCATTTCTTCTTCTCTACCTTGCTCAGCATCTCAGGCTAAGTAAATAAGAATGGTAAATCCATAGATATGAAAGCATATGTTGCTTGTGAAGTAACAAACACATATAAGAGATGGAGAAGATGGTGACCTGCTTTCACAGGACTGTCCTCAGATCATAAGAAATCTAATGCTAGTTCTACTTTCATTTATCATGAGACACTGAGAAAAAGGTTTTCCCTTGGATTGCCCCCACCTTTCCAAGTTAAAATTGAGATAATTATCTCCACAGAGAGAAAATTCAGAAAGATGGGAGATACATGGCTATATGAAACAATGTCCTGAAAATTGTTATATTTTAAGTTAGTACAATAATACCTTATATTTTTTAAAAAGGTTTATATATAACTACCAATTATTTATACAGAGATCACTCACAATTAATATCTAGAAAGATGACAGGCAGACTGCCACCAGGAGAGTGAACTGGTTTTTTATAGAAGTAGACAGGTCACTATTATGTCATTTAAAGGTCTCTGTTGTTCCTAGAACTCTATAAAATACACCAATTGTGGTGTCAAATATTAAATATTGATAAATAAATGTTTTCCCTCCTTACATGAATCTGTTATTCCTAATGAGCTGCAGGATGCATTTTGCTACTCTATTATTGAGGTAATATTAATGATAAAAATATGGACTCGATCCTTCAGTCTCCTATGAGCCCAGTAGAATAAATCAATGAGCCATTTGAATAAAAAATCAATTTTTGGCTATAAGAAGACTTTTATTTTAATGGTGTTAAGCTTACTTATAGAGACTGGATTCAAACTAATGACCTTGCCTCCATTAGTACTGTGTTTAGTCCTATAAAACTAAAATCAATGACAAATTTTCTCTCACATTTAAAGGCTACTCAGCATCTACATTAAGTGGCCTGTTTTTCATTTAGTTTGGGCCATGCCTTCAAAACACAGTGCTGATTGTGTCATCCTAGAATAATTATGAAATTATTCTTGGCAAACTAAGTCTAGCATGTTTTCCATATTATTCTTAGTCTTGTCACTTGCAATAATTTATACAACCTAGCTTCCTTTTTAACTAATGACTGTCCCTTACCTTCCTGAAGTTTGTCCATGTCTGATAAATGGTTAGAGATAGAATTAAAAAAAAAAAAAAAAGCTCAACTAAAGGAAGACAAACAATCTAATTAAAAAGTGGGCAGAGGACTTGAATACACACTTCTCCAAACAGGACATACAAAAGGCCAAGAGACATATGAAAAATTACTTATTGTCACTAATCATCAGAGAGATGCAAATTCCAATGACTATGAGGTAGCACCTCACATCTTCCAGAATTATATGCATAATCAAACAACAAGTGCTGGTGAGGATGTGGAGAAAAGGGGAATCTAGCACACTGCTGGTGGTAATGCAGACTGATACAGCCACTATGGAAAACAATATGGTGCTTCCTCAGAAAATTAAAATTGGACTTCCATTTGACCCAGTGATCCCACTTCTAGGAATATACCCTAAGAAGCCTGAAACACCAACCAGAAAGAATATATGTATCCCCATGTTTGTAGCAGCACTATTTACAATAGCTAAGATCTCAAAACAGCCCAAGTATCCATCAGTAGACGAATGGATAAAACAGCAGTGGTACATATACACAATAGAGTATTATGCATCTGTAAGGAAGAAAGATCTCTTAACCTTTGAGACGACATGGAGGGACCTGGAAAGTATTATCCGAAGCGAAACAAGCCAAACGTAGAAAGACAAGTATCATATGATCTCACTTATTTGTGTAATATAATGAACATAACAGTCTGAGGAATGGGGTAGTCCCAGAGACGTGGAAGTGGGGCACAGACTGACAATCCCCAGAAGAGGGGGTGGTGGGTGAGAGATAAACCATAGAACTTATATGAATGTATGCATGAACAATGGACATGGACAACAAAGCTGGGGGCAGGGCAGGGAGGGATGGAGAGGGGGGAATCACTAGGGGGAAAAGGAGAAACATCTGTAACAAAAATAAATTAATTAATTAAAAAATAAAAAATAAAAATGAAGAGAAAAAAAGTTGGCAGAGGAAATAAATAGACACCTCTGCAAACAAGACATACAAATGGCTAAAGGACATATGAAGAAATGCTCAACTTCATTCATCATCAGAGAGATGCAAATTAAAACAACAATGAGGTATCACCTCACACCTGTCAGAATGGCCGCCATCAACAAATCATCAAACAACAAGTTTTGGTGAGGGTGTGGAGAAAAGGGGACTCTAGTACACACCTGGTGGGAATGCAAACTGGTGTAGCCACTATGGAAAACAATATGGTGTTACCTCAAAAAATGAAAAATTGAACTGCCATTTGACCCTGT